TTGTATTTCCTTTGATTTGCAGTCCATGTGCTAAACATTACATACTTTTTAGTGGAAGTATCTTCAAAGAATGTTGAAACAAACCATTTTTATTATGAGTGTGACACTCTCCTCTTTCCTTCTTGTTTTCCCTTCCCCTTCGAAGGATCCATGCCAGACGTGTGGAACTCCAAATGGGGGGGGGGTGGGTGGTGTTGGTGTCCAAATTCTGCTGCAATGCTTCCTGTATGTGTGAGGACCTTTTTTCTGTCTTAGTCCTTGTCCACACACATCAACACCACAAGAAAAGGAGGGAAGAGGAGAAGGAGTTCATTGAGTACTTCAAAATTTGACTTCTTTAGGACCTGAGGGTTATGTGACCATCCTCATTCAAATGTACAGCATGCCATCTATTAGTTCCCCACCAGGTACAGAGAGATTCCAAGCATCTTTCTGTAAAACTTATTAAGACTAGTCCCCAGAATGTATACATTCTTCTAAGCCCTTCTTCCAAGAATCTGATCACTCAGACCTTGCTATTCAGCAGGTGGACCAAGATCAGTTTTATTTTTTTTCTTTTTGTTTACCAATTATATTTATGTTGGAGGCTTCAGTAAATATTGAATTCATGCCTTGCATAAGCTGTATGAATATCCTAGGATAATTCAAAATCCATGATCTGAATGAATGGTTTGGTAAGCATTCATGATGACTAAGATCCAACCCCAATTTGTTCACCATGGGCAGAAACTTTCTGATCTAACACTCCCCCTTGCTCCATCTCTCATTCTCCATTTACTGAACTATGGAACTCATGTCTGAAGAGAGGGCTGGCTGTGGGAGAGGTGAGGAGGCCCTCCTCTGCCCTTTTTGGCACTCTGACACACAGTTGTATGTAAGCTTTGGAGAATGCTACACCACTCTTTTTGGTTTCCTGTGGGGAGCAATGAGAAGGTGTAGGGTTCAATCAAAACCTGTCATGGAATAAAAGACACGTTACTTTCTTACTTCTGACATTATGCAACTCCTGCATCATGAGTTTTAGGGGCATTTGAATTAAAATGAGGTACTTCATATATAGAGATATTAGAGAAATAAAAAATAATGATATTACAATCTGTAACAAATTCACACAAAGGAAAAATAACATAAATCAAGAGAAAGGTAATAGTAATAAATATTCTGAAAATGTCCATTGGGATTCCATTTCCAGATATTCTGCTAATAAACATAAAAACAAGGATTTGTATTATAACCATCAGGAAAGAGTCTATTGGAATTGAAGCAAGAGAAGAGGAAGAGAGATTTTTTGGCTGCAGCTAAGCAATCACATGGTGGAGTGGGGTGTTGCATCTACCATATGAAAACAGTTCAGGTCTGTCCCTGAAAGCCTGCCCATGGGGCAAGGCCATATTGGTGGCCTCTTTGTGCAGCTTCTGTACCAAGGAAGGCCAATTATCATAGTATTGAATGATACCACCCATGGGGCATCATCCAATGTCTTGCAATTGCCAGAGTCCCAAGCATACAAGAAGAACATAACATTGTAAAAATATAATGAAGGATGTGTGGCAGAGGTGTAGAAATGTGCAAATGTAAGAGAGAAGAGTGCACATTGTGGCAGAGAGAAAGAGAGAAGAGAGGGAGAGGGGGCTAATGTGAGTGCCATGTGCAATTTGCAGGAGTTGTCAGCCACATGTTCCAAACTTTGCAGCCTCTGAGTGTGAGTTGATTCACTTCAGTCATTTACACCTGCCCAGCACCCCCCCCCCCAAATTTCAAAACTTAATTGCTTTACTTTGCTTTGATTTGCTTTGCTACATTTTTGTACAATGCAACTTCCACTTTGATGTATTTCAACTTCAAAAAGAAGTAAAAATAAAATAGTGCCAAAAATATGTAGCATCCATTTATTTTTTTTGTTATTTTTTCCAACTTATTCAAACCAGGTGTACTTATGCTTTCAAATTCTACATTGATACAACACACAATGGTGGTTTTGTTACAAAGAGGACATTGAAGGTGGCATTTATAAATAACTTCATATTCAAGAGAATTAAAATCATATGTAAAGTTTTGGGCACCACAAAAATAGATTATATTGTGTGCATTTAAATTAAAGCAGAAGTGTCACAATTGTGTGCTATATTAATTTTTTTATTACAATTAACTTAATTAAAAAAATTATAGGATTTTGATTCTATCAAGCAATTGATGCAAGCAAATAATGTTTCATCTACATTAAATTCTACATCAATATATGTTGAGTACACACAATCTTTTCTGTATGTAAAATGAATAAATAAATTGTACACCATCAAATAATTTGTGATGTTTTCTTCATTTAATGATTTTTTTTCTCTCATTAATAATAGTTTTGAGATGGTAAAACTATCATTCACATTGAAGATGAGTTTATGATTGTATATAAACATGAAAATAGATGATATAATATTGTATAAACACATGTACTTAAGTTATAGTCACCACAAGATGCCAAATTTAGCTTATATGAAAAACTGTTTGTTTCACTGAATGTTTAGTATTTATTTAATATTCATATCATACAAAGGTGAAATAAAAAAGGTGAAAATTTTATTTCTACCAAATAGAATAATACTTCTGTTTCATTAAATGAAAAAAATGAAGAATAGCTTAATTCATCATCTGTGTTAGAATTTAAAGTGTAAGAACAGTAATATCTAGAGTGCTGAGAGGGGAACATGCTCTGAGAAAGGGAGGCTACACACAATGAACCCAAGGCAGGAAGGATAGGAATGGAAAAGGGCGGACAGAAAGAAGGAAGGAAGGAGGCAACCAACCCACTGTGGCAATGGGGGAAAAGAAAAGTTAGAAAGAGAACCTGAAGCAAAGAGCCTGCCCTTTTACAGACAGAGATTCCCTGCTTGCCTGCCTTACTTCCTTTCCCTCCTTAAGTCCATGCTCTCAGGCTCACATGTGGCCCATTGGTAGGATAACTGAGCCTTGTCTCGCTGCCTTGATTCCAAGGGAACACAAAAGGGAAGGGAACAACACCTAATCTCCTCCCCTCCTCCCCTCCTCCTCCTTCCCAATATTCCCCCCCCCCCCCGTTCATTGCACTTCCATTGGGGAAGGGGGTGCTTTTGCTTGTAGTGTTCAGTGCCACAAAGCTGGCCATCATGGAACTAGTCAACCTCTCCACCTTCCTTGATGCTACTCCCTTCAAGTCAGGCCTGGTCAGCTCCATGAAATGAATGAATGAATGAATGAATGTCTCATGGATGAAGACCCTCAGTTGTTCTCTTGTGCTTCCTTGACAAGCCCTCCTCCTTGCTTCCAGGAATTAGGGCTTCCTGGTTTGGTGACTCAAAGGGTTAATTTTGTGTTTTTCCTCTCTCTCGCCCTCTTTCTTACCTCTGTCCTGCCCAAAGTTTCTGGACCTTGATTAATGGATAAAATCCATTTCAGTTTTAGATGTGTGTGTAATATAGAATGGGCCTTGTGGCTGCTTGTGAGGAAGTTATGTCTGAAGAGGCATCCATCATTGATTTGTGACCAAATACAGTTCCACCCCCACTCTACCTTTTCTATGCTATCACACAAAGCATCAGTTTCATCATGCCAATTGACTGTAGGGTGTAGAACCTGTAGTACCTGTAGAACCCTACCAATTGCATAAGTATAACATTGCCCACCATGCCATAAAAATACAAAGTGCATGCAAATCCTTAAAAAGTAATTAGAGAAGCCTCAGAATGCAGTGGTGGAGACTATGAATAACTTTGGCAATTAAGAGCAAGGCATGCATGACAAACCCTTCTTTGTATTTTTTTTATTCATAAAAACTATCTGAAGAAAATCTTATATTTCTTCTGCTTCTTTTTGTACAGGTCTATGGCTGGTTTCTCACACCCAGAATTGCCCTCCTATCACCACTTGAAATTTATGGTGAGCAATTCTCTGACATGAGTGTCTGGTGGTAGACTTGCACATGGAGTGTGATTAGGCCAGACTTCCTTTTTGGCAAAATGAAAACCCTAAACCATGGCACTTGAAGTGGATCTTTTCTTGGACTGGCATAGGGAGGTGTGAAAATTACTCTGGTTTTAGTGATGATGGTTGTTGAGAACAAAAGTGACTCTCAAACACAACCTTAAAACCAAATGTGATTGCAGCTCTTGAAGTATCAATATGAGGAGTGTATTTTGATTTCGAACTGAATCTCCTGCAAAGAGAATTGAATGTAAAAAAATACCTTACATTGAAAACATAAAAAAACACTTGCCACTCACTCTTCAACCTTGGCCATGATCATCAAAATTATTTTAGTCCATCCATTTGTGAAGTTCCTGGATGATACCCATAATATCTGAAGATAGAAGTTGCAATGTTGCACATCTGAACAACTCAATTACTCATCTCATATTCACCAAAGAAGAACTCCACATGATCAATAATGTACTTCACAAGTTGTGAAATAATTCAATGCCAAATATGTTTGAATTACACCATATTCAACACAATCTCCCAAAACCCACACATGGTAAATCTGCATACCACCTACTTAACCATTTCTTTGGAAAGAAGACATCTTCGTGTGACTGTCTAGCCACACTTAGAACACTAAATGCAATGCATGTCTAGTACCCACAATGTCATTTGAATTATTTGTGCCTCTATACAAACTGCCAAAACAGAACAGAACCACACAATCTTTTTTTTTGCCAAGACACATTGGTGAATAACCCACTGGCTACACTGAGTCATGGGATACATTGTGCACTAAGAAAAAGGAAAAAAGAAATCAATGCATGGGCCATGAGAGTAACAAATCTGCTCTGTAGAAGCAAATGAAGGAAGAGCGAGGGAAAACTACAGAGGAGTGGAAGGAAATAGGGGAGGCCATTCTACAATGGAGGGAGAGGCTCAATGCATAATGTGGAGGGTGGGCCAGAGAGACAGAGAGAGAGAGAGAGAGAGAGAGAGAGAGATATATAGTGTGTGAGACAGTGAGGGAGGGAGGGAGGGAGATGGGAGTGGGAGTGTTTCCTTGTGAGAGTGTGTTATTCCTTTCTAAGGACAACGTGTGTGAGTGAGTGAGAGTGAGGACAGCCAGAGCCGGACTGCCTGCCCCCCCCCCCCCCAATGCTTGATGCCCCCGCCTTGGTTGGGGCTCTTTCTCAAGCCTTGTCTGTTTTGTATTTGGGAGCAGCATTTGGCGCGATTCGCCGCATTCTGCACTCACCATGCCGTCTTCCTCTTCCTCTTCCTCTTCTTCTTCTTGCTGCTGCTAATCCCCTCTCCTACGAGAATCCCGAGAGATTTTTGCCGTCATTCCTTCGGGTTTCGAAGGTATGCAGAAAATTTCGTACGCTGAACTGCTGCTGTGTTTTGGAGGTTTCCTGCATTTGACGGAAGTAAGAGGAGCGCGTTTGTGCATTGTTGTCAGTTTTGCGTTAGGAAGTGATGAGCTTGAGGAAGCGCTTAGAGGGAGTTGCGAGTTTTTATTTTTATTTTTGTTTATTATTATTATTATTATTATTTTCAATCTCTTTTTCATTTTTCTTACTTCTGTTGTTGGAGTTAAGATATTGGGGTTGGGGGAGTTGAGTGTTTCAGGACGTTAGGGGGATTTTGTTGTCGGATTTACGTTTGAGGTGGACTTTCGGCTCTGCTGGATGTATGTATGTATGTGTATTTTAATTTTTGAGTTTTTGGTTATTATTCCAGGTGGGAAGACCCCTCCCTGGGATTCAATCTTGAGGTTTCGAGATCAAGGTGGGGGAAAGGGGGAAGTGTCTTGATTTGATCAAAGTGGGGCTGCAGAGGTGGTGGTGGTGAAAGGGATTTTTTACTTGGTGCAAGGTGTCATCCTCCGTCGTCAGTCGTATTGGTTGCTGTCTCAAAGAAGTTTTGTTGTCTGTATTGTATTGTTAAGAATTTTCAGGAAGTCGGCTGCGAGGTCTTGTCGCGACTGGGACCCCCCACTACGCGTCATCCAGCCTTTTTATTTGCTTGCCTAGCAAGCTTCCACTGTGTTTTAGAGCGGCACCTCCATTCCGTTCTCGAGATTTCAGTATATTGGAATTCTAAGCTGTAACCAAGCGAAGCGCCCTCGGTGTGTGCATGTGGAACCATTTGGCGGCCATTGTTGCGAAAGCTATTTGGGAGGAGGCGCAAGGTTAACTGTCACCCCTTGTCCCATTTCCCGCCCTCTATTTCTATCTCCTCGCTCACTTTTAGCGGTTTTTCGCGCCATTGATTTTGGCATCTTCTCGCTTCAACTTTCTTCGATGAGTGATTGTGTCGTGCAAGAAAACCTGGATATGACCTGTAGAGAAGCCCGCCGCCGCATCTTACAACATAGTTCTATTTTCTTGTTCCCTTGAACAGACAGACTTGGTCATGGAAGCTTTCAACGATCAGGCAAGGAACTGGGTGTCTTATTGTAGAACCGTTGGTTAGTTCATGCTTTTCTCTCGTAATCTGACGATGCTATCAACCTTATCAGTCCCCGGCCTGAGTGTGCAGTTCTAGTTCATGTAAACACTTTTTGAGTTCGAACTCTCAGTTTCGGGCTCTTATTTCTCCCCTTCGAGAGTGGTGTCGTGCCGAGCCTTAGCACGTAAAGGGCTTGAGCCTTTTCCTTTCCCCGGCGACGAGTTAGCATAGTTTTTGGTCTCATGCATGCTGCCGGCCGGGTAGTTTCGAGGCTTTCATTCGAATTTATTTCTTATTTCTAGCGCGTCTGGGCGGTTTCTCTATGCTCAAGGCACGGTTGTGACGGGTTTATTGGTTTGTTTACAGGGTGGTACTGGAACCTTGAAATCTTGACCCCTCACAATAGGTTTCTCTCTCGCCGAAGGTTTGTATGATTTACTTGTCAATCCTGGTGCCCCAGCTGCAACACCGCGCTCCGTCTTTGTCAGAACTCCTCCCTCCTCATCTTGTGGTGAAAAAGCTCTGCCATGGGCACACTCATAAAATTCAACTGTCTACTGGGAGGCTGACGATTTGGCAGTCTTTGGAGGTTGTACTTAACCCTCTTTACTCTCCGAAATCTACTTCTCAAGCCAACGTCTTTCTCATCTTTTTCTCTGGGGATTTTTCCTGAGCATCTTGGACTTGAGCTCAGTCCTTGTAAACTACCGCACTTTGAGATATCCGAGGAGGGTACGACCTTGTCAAGGAACTTTTCGAGTCAGTGTTTTGAGCCCAGAAACCTGAGGTTTGGGCGCATATTCACTAGAGGGATATATCTTTATTTTCCTCATACAGGAACACTAATTGGTGTTCTTTTATACCTAAATTTTAGATCACAAGGAGGCTTAGTAGGTCCTGAGGGATTGAACATACAGTGCGAAGAAAGCTAATCAGCTGTGAGTTAGTTTGTAAAGCTGGCTTGTTTTCCTGGCTCAGGAACTGCCTTTAGCACTTCAGTTTGATAATCGTCATAGCGTTGTCCCTGTTTCTTTAGAGGTCTTGGACAGTGGAAACCCCGAAGCCCGAAACCGGCGGGAACAGGAATTTTTGTGGCACCAAAATTTTGTAGTAGTTGTGGGTGGCTTTGTGCCCCCCAAATCCGACAAGATTGCGGGGTTAACTCACTCAGGACCGCTGGCGAGCCAGTATTCATTGTGGCTCTGGGACGGAATTGGGGGTTCCGGCGACACTACCAAGGAGCGGAACTGGGTGACCAGCTCCGCTAATCACAGTTGGTCCCTCCCCCCCACTGATCAGAACTGGAGTTTGGCTGCAGCGGCGGCTCCCTATTATGAACGACAACAGCCCCAGATGGGAATCCTTGAGCGGCAATCCAACCCGCCGGCTGCGTCTAAGGAGTTCAAACGGACTGTAGGCGACGGCCGGCGGGGTTCCAAGCAACAACAGTCTACAGGCGGGGAGCACAAAGGATCACAGGTCGCCGAATCCAAGCAGTTCTCATCTGAGCAGAAGCAGCAACTCCCCGGCGAGAACAACATGCCAGGCCCAACCGCACCCAAGACTGGTGTGTCCAACGGAAATACCCAATTCCAGGTCACCGTCAGCCACGAGAAGCGATTTAAATCGCTGCCATCCGCTGAGGTCCTTCCCCGAAATGTCACTCTGGGAGGTTACATATTTGTTTGCAATAATGACACCATGCAAGAGGACCTTAAACGCCAGCTCTTCGGTACGTTGCAACTATCCTTTGATTTTCTGCCATAGATCCAATCAGCAGGTGGCAAGCTGGTGATAGCACGGACTCATTCATGACTCTTGTGGTGGCTGTAGCCATCATCACAATAGCATGAGCGATTTTTTGTTCATTTCTCCCTTGTCATACCTGTATGGCGAGGCAGTAATTGGAGAATCTGGACTTGGTTCTATCTCGATACATTAGAATTGGATCTGATAAAAGTGGAATTTCTGTTGAGGGGCTTAAGGTTTCTTAACTTCGTAATGATTTGTTGAAGGAGTAAGTCTGATGTAGGGTTGTAAAAATTTGACCTACGACGTAAATGCCACCGAGTGGTAAAGACGACAGACTTGATTTTCACAATTGTAGTTTCACCCAACGTAGTTGTTAATCATACAATCAAATGACATTTTGTTTAGTTTAGCTAATTTGATAAGAAGAATATTAATCTGCAATTTACTGAGGACTTTTTCTGCAGGATTACCACAACGTTACCGAGATTCTGTACGCACTATTCAACCAGGGCTTCCCCTTTTTCTGTACAATTATACTACACACCAGCTTCATGGGATATTCGAGGTGATTGTCCTCAACTTATACCTCTTGATTTTATTGAGTGATTCACGATCGTCACAATCTTTCACCACTCTCGGCTTTGCTTGTAAGTTATGATTTTTGCAGATTCGGATTGATCTTAATATTAGATCAGGTGGTTTATTCCTTAAGTAGAGGGATACGTTCCGGCATCTTTTCTAGAGACGGTAGGTCTGGTCCGTCGAATGAGAAGCAAGGAAGATCAATTTCAACATCTGTGAGGTTGTAGGATGTATTATATTCTTCTGGTATGAGGTGCTAATGCATGTCGTCATTCTTTATGACAGGCAGCAAGTTTTGGAGGCTCAAACATAGACCCAACCGCCTGGGAAGACAAGAAATGTCGAGGAGAATCGAGATTTCCTGCTCAGGTTGAATCTCAAAGCATTGCGATGTTAAATAGTGATTCACGGTTTGCCAGATACAAATTTAAATAGTAGGTAGAACATTTGTTAAGTCACTGCTTATCCACTCAATTTTTATTTGACCGTAGGTGCGGACTCGTATTCGAAAGCAGTGTAAGCCTTTAGAAGAGGACTCATTCAGGCCAGTGCTGCATCACTATGATGGGCCCAAGTTCCGTCTTCAGCTCTCTGTTCCAGAGGTATCATATTTAACTCTTAAACACAACCGTCCGCTTCGTTCAGCTCGGTATCTTGTGCAAAGAGTAATGATTGAGTTGAAAATTTATGATAGTCAGTATCAGATCTGTGGAATCAAAGTTGAAATAAGCTTTAAGTGTCAATGAATTATGTGTTCGCTTGCTTTCAGCATAATGCATCCTAGGATCTGCTGTAGCCTCTTCGAGCATATAACTTCGGAGACAGTATAGTGGAGGGAGAAACCAGCATTTGGCTTAACGTTACTGGAATGTGGCCTGTATTCGTGCCTCTCCAGGCTGTGGAGCTGCTGGATCTGTTCGAGGAGAATGGATCCCCTTAAGGGCTGGACCATTAATAAGGCCGGTTCCACGAGGAAACGTTTCGAAATTGCCGTGTTACTGTTATGGGTAGAGAGAATGACGAGTCTTCCCTTTCTGTGGATATACCTTTTCTGTTGTTCTAAAGATACAGGTACATGGGTTTCAGTCTTTCGTAGAGAAAGTAGACATCTAGAGAGATTTTGAAGGAGAGAACCTCACGAGAGAGAGAGAGAGAGAGAGAGAGAGAGATTGAGAGCGAGAGCCCACTTGACACAGACGTAAGCCTGTAAAATTGTTCAACCTCCCCCTCCTTTAAAACTCTTCACCTTTTGGTATATTCTCGCCCTGGATATCACCCTCTGTAATTTTCTACATTTTGCTCCCATTATCTTTTCCATCCTTTTTGTGGAAAAGAGGTAGTCACTTCTATTGATGTAGACCAAGTTACTACACTGAGCGCTTTGACCACATCATTCACAGGATACGATTTATGTTCAAATAAAATATCCACTCACAATCAGTCATCTGCTTTTTCAACCACAGTGAATGCCTTTGTTTTACCCAAGGTGAATTGAAATTCCAGCTTATTTTGGTGATGAAGTTTGGATTTATAGATTTTGTAACCTTGGAAAATGAACGAGAGAAGTATCTTTTCAAAAAGTTTCAAGACACGAAAGCACATAATTCGTGGACTTCTCGTACTCACATTGATGCTTTCCAATCAGGTGGATAGAAATTCAAATACTGTACCATGATTAATAATGGGAATTGTTTAAGTGATCCAAGTACTTTCTAAATCGACCCACCCATCCTAACCAACATCAAAAAAATTCTCCATTATTTGATATGCATTGGTCATAATCTAATGCAAAAGTAAATAAATAAATCTCCCCTATTCAATATAAGCATTGGTCAAAAACCAACGAAAATATGGTTGGATCCTTGACCAATGATGATAGGTGGGTCGATTTAGTAAATGTTTGGGTCACTTGAACACTTAATAATAGCTAAATTTTGGGGTCCAATGTAAAAATTGAAAGTAAAACGTGAAGATCCGTTGTCTGTAAAATCAAGTTGGGTGCTTTTCACCAAGTTTTACTGAATGTGCTTGGATGGACAGTTGACAAGATGAGAGCCATGCATATCACATGATTCATAACAACTTTTCCTTATAATATGCTTACTTTCTTGTAATCAATTTATTTTAATGTAAAGAAAAAAGCCCATGTATTTTGTTGATTTCTTTTCATCACAAATTGATAAAGGTTATCTGATGCATAATAGCCCATGACCACAAAAAAAAATGTTCTCTTTAAATTTTATCCAGATGCAATTGTTGAGTAAGAGTTTTAAAAAACATTGTGTGAACTATTCAGGGTTTTTAATCTAGTCTGAATATTTTTAGAAATTTACTCTGAATGTGCAAAAAGAATAAGAAATGCTGCATTGATCAAAAGAATAATGGTTTTAATCTTGGTTGTTGTTGTTGTTTTTGTTTTTTTTGTTTTTTTTTTGTTTTTCCTTATTTCAAAGCAGTGATTCCTATTACTAATTTTCATTTTATGAAACACATCAAAAACAAAAGGAGTAAGATTATATTTGTGTTTCATGGCAGAAAAGTATTCAATTATATCATATTTGTAATATTAATAATGTATTAAATTAAATATTACAAGTGTAGTGGTTGAAATTATAATAGAACATGTTGGCAACATGCATTGGCTTAAATTGGCAAATGAAAGTTCCTTTTAGAAAATCAAACATTGTCATATAGATTTTTTTTTTTTTTTTTATTTATTTTTTTAAATTACAATATTGTGACGTGGCTAGATGTTATTTGGAATTATTGCATTAAATAAAATTATTTAAGATTAAAAATCACAATTCAAAATTTATTTTAAGTTCATAAAAAATATTATAAATGAACAGGGATACATAATATAAGAATAGACAGAAATAAAAACACAAAGTAGAATCTAGGTAGATAAACCAGAGAGTATTTGGTTAACATTAATGGTAAAAACTAGAAAATAACCAAAAAATTCTTATTCTTATTTCTTTTCTTTTTTCAAATTAATAAAAGAGATAGAAGCAAAAAGCCATTAATTGTTTCTTTTTACAAAAACAAAATACCAAGTGAGATTTTAAAGTGATATCCAAAAATTGTAACACATTTACAACATGAAGACATATGAATATAGAGTTTTTGAATGCACTAGTCTAAAATGTCTAAAAATATTATATTTTGATGTGTTGGTAAAAATTATGTATCATTTAAGATAATATTTATTACTTAATATATAACAACAAAGTTGCATATCTCTTTTTAAAGTGCCAAATCTTTGAACAAATACGATCTTTTTATAATTTATTAAAATAAAGTAAGAAATATTATTTTATTAATTTTTTCAAAATATTATATGACACCATTGTTATCACTTATATTATTTAAATTTATACAAAAGTTTTTTTTTATTTTTTTTATTTTTATAATAATTAATAGAATCTAAAAAACAAGTTAAAAGTTTTTTTTTAATATAAGCATCTAGTTTGAATTTTCTTAGAAATTATATTAAAAAAAAATAAAGCCTCTAGATCTTGAAAATAAAATTATTTTACTAATTTTCACTTTTTTTACTTCTATGATTCACCACAAAAGTGCCTAAGAATTTGTTATATTTATTGAGTAGTATTAGAGCCTTAATATTGCCTACGAATTTGTAACATTTAATGAGTAGTATTAGAGCCTTAATATTGATGATCTTATGTAATTTTGATTCAGCAAAGTAAAAAAAACCTAAATAGAAATTTTACTTTGGTTAACTTATAAAATGTGATTAACAATTAAAAGAATCATATTTTCAAATTTCTTTAACTATTGTGAAAATAATAAGATGGCTGAAGAAGACCATAAAATTATTATAAGTGGTCATGACTATCTTAGAACGTTAGATATAAGTAGAATCTAATACTTAGCATTATGTCACTGAATCTTTGACATTATAGAGATGCATTTTTGAAGTACATTAGAAAATAAGTAATTAAATTAGATAATATATTTATAAATGATTGTATATTGGATCAATGATGTAAGATAGTTTGCTAATATTTAGTAACAACATTAATAATATTTTTTTAACATGTTATATTATAAAATTCTATTAAGGTTTTTATTATTATAAATAATTTTGATATACTTATTATTATTATTTTTATTATTAAATCAATAAATTTTAAAATTTAGAATAAAATTCATTTCAAGACCTTTAATAGCCAAATTTGTAGTAATCTCAAAACTTAGGCATTAAAAAAAGATATTTTTTTAAAAAATATTAAATTAGTATATATATAAATTTTGATTCATTACTATTAATTTTTAAATGTATTATCAAAATTTAAAATATTACTTTATAAAAAAGCCAAGTCTTCACCTAAACATACATTCAAAAAATAAAATTAGTGTACAAAATAGAATAAACTCAAAACTAATATAAGAAAACATCTTCATCAAAATACTCAAGCAATGAAATTATACCTATATACTATGATATAATGACAATAGTATTTATTTGAATGTAATGTCTTATTTTTTAAATGAAACAAAAATTTGATACTTTTTTTTTATAAGTTTTAAAACTTAATTTTTTTAAAAATATATTATTAATGACATCTTTTGAAGGAATTTAAAAATTCCAAAATAAAAAGAATTTGAATATAATACATGTTTTAGAAATAAAATATTTAATAGAAATTTCTAAAGAAATTTTTAATAATATTTTAAAAAACCTATGATGTTGCATAAAAATCATTAGTTATGATAAATTTTTTATATATCTTATATATTTAAAGATTTAGTTTTTAAAAAATAAATAGACGAAAATTAACTTATAAACTTATTTGTCTTATATATTCATTAGTATAATTGATGGTTGGATTGATTTATTAGCTATTTAAAAAATAGTATTGACAACAAAGTATATAATAAATATAAGTCTATTAATTTATTTTAATTTTAATTTTTGATTTTATATGTATAGATACTTGGGATAACAAAAAGATTTTTCATTGTATTAAAATGGATCTGTGAAGATGAAATAATACTATTACTACTACTACTACATGTACAAAAATAATTATAATCTGATTAATAGTCCTTATTCATTCATTCATTCATTCATTTATTTATGTTGATCTTTTAATTCAATAAAAGTTCTTCAACAATATAGATATTTAATTTTTTAAAGATAAAATAGAATATATATATATATATATATATATATATATATATATATATAAGTAATTGTAAAAACCACACACTCATTATGTTAGTGCTACACCCTCCCTACCATTTTAAGATTAATTTAGTTTATCTTCCATCCTAGATCTTTGACTTCTTCCTTCATCTCCATGCATGTTTTATGTCTTGAGTCTTTCATTTCCAGCTCATATTATTTGGTCCTTATTCTTAGCCACTATTCTCTATCTTTGTTTTTGTTCTTATTTTTGTTTCCATTTTATAAAAAATAATAACAATATTCAAAATAATTTATGTTTCTTACTTAAGAAATCAATTCTAAATTCTAAGCCTTTAATTATGGATTTTATATATGATGTTTATTTTAAAAGACTTACACATTTTATATTTCAACTAAATTTTTAAAAATTCCACAAGTATATAAAACATAATCAAATTAATTTAATAATATTTAAATCAAAATAAGATATATTATCTTTTAATTGTAATTAGAAGATTACAATGCAATATCAATAATGTTTTAGTTACAAAGTAATTTTGTAAGAATATATCTTTATTCAAAGTTGATGTTGCCATTCACAATGATAAAGATTAGAAATAGAAGATAAATGCTAAGAATAGAAAAATAAAGAAGAGAGGATTTGAAATTATTATAGAATAAAAAAAATAAATTTTCAACACATAGTTTTAAGAAGGTTGCACATAAAAAGAGTGTGGAGTCACATGGCTCTCACTTCCAATATCCATTACTCAAAAGTAATAGTTTCTATTCTAGAAGACAACTTCTATTCTTTGATTATTACAAATATGGTTCTAAGATCTTTTATCATCTAACTTACCATGAGCGTATATTATGGTTCTAAGATCCTTTAGGATCTAACTTACTATTAGGATATATTATGGTCCTTGGATCCTTTGACATTTCATTAACCAAGAAGATATCCTATGCCAAATACTAATTACTCTTACTTGGTCCATAGATATTTTCAAGTTAATATTTTATCATCTTGACTTTGACTCTTGGCTCTTGATCTTATCTTATATCCATAAAATGTCCATTCTATATACCAAGAGTCAATCTTTTGATCATTAGCAACTTATTTAAAGCAACATCTTTTATATAGAAATTTATATTATTTTTATTTATTTACTTTAATACTTTCACTTTGTTATTTGTCAAAGGCTTTCAATTCTAATGCCTTTGACAATATGTAATATTTATTCTTTGTTAATTTCTTTATCAACTCATCAACAAGCATGTCTTCTATT